TATCTGCGTATTGGAGATTGCTCTTGGGACGTCCAGCGAGCTGGTAAATGCTAAACTGGTCGTCCCTAAGGCTTTCGTCCGCGAATGAGAAGAATGTTTCCTCAGCGTCGCCAAGTTGGTGATGATAATAGACTAGACGTTGTGCTCCATCCAACTTTGGGGTGCTGGTGTTGTACTGATATTGGGAGAAGCTGTCCGCACTGAATTGTATAGGAGATCCTTCAGCGTTAAATGAGGTTTCGAGCGGCCACTCTGCTTCTTGAAGGGCAGAGTTCGCCAGTTTAGAGGGCCCTTCGGCGAAGGGGGGGTTTCCCTTGTGATAGCCAAATGCAATATCGGTCAAAGAATCTGTGAAAACGAATCCGTTGTCCTTTTTGGCATTGTCTTTTTCGATACTTTCCACGGATTCGCTGACAACTTGGGCTGTGAAGTCTTCGTGAGAGTGGATTGCTACCTCGAGGGAGTCGTTGGAGATTTCGTTGTCGGAGAAAGTTGGGGGTGTGTTGAAATTGGCTTCAGAAGAGCTTGAGCTGGACAATTCACTGCTAACATCGGGAGTATTATCTGTGACAAAGGAAATGGATTCAGAGTAAGGATGATTGAAGCCTCGCCAGTTGGCTTGACTAGGCTCGCTGGGGGTCGAGGGTGTTATGATAACACGCGGTAGAGAATGCTGAACCATCCTTGTAGCAGGAGTGTATAGCCTTGAAGAAAATAATGAGTTGATTGTTTTATTTGCGTGATGATTTGGCTTACTCGAAGTGCCTTGGATCGCTGTACTCATCGACTGGAGTAGTGTTGGCTCCTTTTGCCAACTTACGTTCTCTGCGCTCTTCTTTGCTGCTTGAACTTGTCGCCTTCTTTCCCTTCAGCCGAATATTATTGATACTCGGGTGAGGGAGAAAGTTTTGTTGTCGAATCCCTATCAGGAATAAAATAAATTGCAACCTCTACGGACGTGTAGGGCGAAAGCCGTACCAGAACCATCATCATAGTTATTGCCGACGAACTCGAGCTTCTCCGCCGAGCTGCGTAGGTTATGTGCCGGTAATCCAGGACTGCGACTCGTGAATATGGTCAGCGAGCATATAAAAGTCCAGACGCGGCGTAGCCAATCAAGGATGTTATACGCCCAACGAGCGGACATGGGCAATACACATGGGAAGATCTTGATGTGCACCCAAGAGCAGAGACCAGAAAGGACTACTGAGACGAACAGCCAGCAGAAACGGTTCAGTGACCACAGGCTGGCACATTTAACGAAGCCATGAGGCTGACTCGAAGGACCAAGGCAGCCTGCAAGGGATTTGGTTCAAGACGCATGGGTACCCCAGAAAAGCCGGATGGTCCATTGGAATCGCCTAGACAAGTCCCGAAATTGCATTAAGAGGCGGTTCAGAGCTATCCTTTTGGGTCATTTGCGAAATGGACATGGAATTCTGGAAGAAAGGTGAGCAGAAGTCACCACCCCACTCCGTTTACCCGATTTTATGAATTAGATTAATTAGTCATCTATGCTATGTCTATACATGGAAGGTGGAAACAAATAGTTTAGCCTGCTAAGTTTCCTCCATCCAGACTGGGTCTTTTGTTTTGAAGCCCTGAGAGATGGACAGAACGTCCATCGGTCCAATTGTCAAACGTTGAATTCACGGCAGGATCCGTGTTAAATACCCACAGCGGTGAGCGCCCTCGTTCTTGTCTCCGTTTACCCACAATAGCCTACTCATAAGCCACGTTTCTCCAGCATCGGCGCTTAGCAGGCCATCGAACGTACGGTCATAATATCCGAGGCATGGCGGACACAACATCTAGGGCAGGAAAGAGGCATACGCGGCGGCAAGAAGTATGTTTTAAAAAATTTCTGCTGTAATTCCTGCTGGGACAGCTGCTGAATACGTATTAAGTCCATTTCAAAATGCAGGTCGCTACCTTCGCTTCAGCTTACGCCCTCAGATGGATCTGCGGATTTTGTCTGCTCAAAATGCGGGTTAACAAGCTCTTTGATTCCTATATGTCTTCGATGTTACCAAACCTCCAACCTTGACGAAGACCAAAGACCTCTCAACAAGCGCGTCAGTTGGAGTATCATTTCTGCAGTGACGACGCAAGAAGGCCCGTACGGGCAAACCATTACCGAAGAAATACCACCGACGTTATCTCCCCCATCTATAGCATCACAGAAGACGTCAGAAGCCTCGTGCCAGCCTCAAATACAAGAAGTGACGAGACAAATCAACAAAGGGTCCTCCGCACATGGTCAAGGTTTACAACAGCCAGACGGTGTAGTGGTCACAAGTGGTCGATTGAACACCGACCTGCACAACGATCGTATTGAAACCAAAGCGCCATCAGCACCGTTGTCGCCTCCGACTCGCCCGACTCTCGAGAAGCTGTTGAAAACCAAGCTTAGCTCACATATCAGGCAGTTTCAACGCGACGACGACGCGTCCGGACCCCCACATTGCGAGGACAACAGGTCATCTTCACCCGTTGCTATGGTGAGTAAACGCAAACTTTATCTAATAAATACGATAGTATCAACTTACGATTACTCTTCCGATTCAGTCCCATTCAACAGCGTCCTGTGTCTCGTCCGTTCAGGTTTCAGCGCACAGCGCTGTTTCTTCTAATAATTCTGGGGCTGGCTCCTCTTACGCTTCTCCTCATTCAACGTCATCTTCCTCAAGTTCACGTCGCTTACGATCTCGCTCCAAGTCTTTATTTTCTCTTTCAATTGCCTCTGCTGTCGGACCATCTTCGTCAACCAATTCAGACACGAACACACGAACTATAATCAATAATAATCAGCCAACATCTACGACCACCAACATGATCAACGCAGCCAAAGCCCTCACGAGGCGTATATCCTCAACCACGTTGCGCGTCATGGAGTCCTCGACGCTATCAACACATGTTACCACTATACCCGAATTAAAGCAGCACGACCTTGCCCCAATCTCTGGCCAAGTTCTATCGGACGAGAAACTCGCAAGATTCGACTGCGAGGACCGCACTCTGCGAAGGAAGAAGAGACTCGGTGTCGCTGCTTCACCCACTTCACGCCCTCCCCCTGTTGCATCCATCAACTCGAGCACGCTGAAAAAACAAGTAAGCGTGGCTTCGCTCAAGGCGTCAAAGCCAATATCGGTTTCTTTCAAGCTCTCCAAACGACCTGGAACGTCTGAATCCGAAGGCTCAGCCGCTGGCGATAATATGGGGGATAATGTCAAGACAAATACGCATGACTCTGTATTTCCTTCTTCGGCAGCGAGCCCCAAGGAGCTGGCGCACCCGGATGCACACATTGACACCAGAGCAAGGTATCCCGGTGAGACCGCCGACACCTCTTCTCAACAGATTATGCAGCCACCGCCACTCGACACCGACGTTGACCGCCCCCAACAGTCGCCCACCCATGGTTCCAGCACAGGGTCACTCACTCGACCTTCCTCCCAAACCGTTACACCGGTCTCTGTCGTGCCTGCCCAACCGAACCCGCGCATTGGGCATCCCAGTCGTCCATATTACAGCGCCATTCGCAAGCATCACATGTCTGCTCCCGCACCGCCGAAATTAGTCTCTCCACCTCAATCAGTGGAAGTATCGCCTGCGAATTCACGTCCCGTATCTACCTCTGCCCACCATCCGCCTTCAGCATTTGCTATGCAGATGTCAGCTATAGCCCCGTTCGCAAGGAGACCGGTTTCTTTGGGCGCTGTTCCTTCTGGTGCTTCCTCGAGCCATGTGGCACACGGCCATACGAACTCGGTTGGGTCCACAACTACCAAGGGCATGAGCGTATTCGATCTGGAAGACGAGAATTATGTCGATGTTGTCGACGACGAGGAGGCTAGCAATTCAACTGCGCCTTCGTCTTACAAAGCCAAGCAGGGCAAGAAGTCCCATAGCCTGTCAAAAGCGTTCGTTCGTGGGCACAAGCGGAGGACGTGGTCGTACGGGCTGTTTTCTGGGGAAGAGGAGGTGGCGCGCTCGGCCAACTTTGCGGCGAAGAGTGCGAATCACGGGCGAAGGCTTAGCCATGGGGTTCCGCCTCCGCCGCCTTTGAGCTTGGATCGGATCGGGGTCTCGATGAGTGGGGAGACGGAGCTGAGGATGACGCTAGCGATGCTGGAGCAGCAGGAGCGTGCTCAGCAACAGCAAGAAGCTGAAGTAGAGGGATTGTCGACGTCTCCGCTTCCTAGTGGTTCCCTTAAAGTTCTGGCCGTACCCACACAGAGCGAACGGTTCCGGTTCCGACACACGGCGGATTTCAGTCAGCAACAACATACGGTCGACGGTCAACCGACTTTGAATGAAAATGCCGGACCATCGAGGACTGGAACTCCTTCAGGGTCTGGTTCTGCTGGTGTCATGGCGCGTGTACGCAAGTTCAAGAAAAGCTTTATCAAGGGCCTTCAAGTATTGGGATCGACCTCCGCCACGCACCCTGCGTCATGATAGGTATTGCAGTCATCGTGCTAATCAACACTTCTTTACATTTTTTACGCCTTTTCATGATGACTTTTTTACGCCTAATGACACATCCCTCAATACAACTTTTACAGGCATATCATGGCTATACCCAGCTTACTTTCTCAGACACTCATTTAGGCTGCATTTCATTCACGTTCATCATTATCATTCTTCCAAATACAATGTTTATCCCCTGTACATATACATTCCACGTTCATCGCCTTTCCCTTTTTCCAAAGTATAATGTTTTCATTGGTACTGTCTATTGAAGACCTGATTGGATCGAATTTCTACATTGCATTTCTCGTCTTTTACCGCTGCTGTTTACCTTGCTTTCCGTCTACAGTCGCATCGTATGTACAACACGTATACGTCCTGGATTTTAATCAACTCGTTGGAAGTTGATCTTACTCGTGTGTGCAGTGTCGAGGGGGTTCTCGTTGGAAGTCTTTAGAACTCAGCGAGGGCCACCAAGGGCCAAGGCCCACCGCCCTTTATATAGCTGGCCCAATGTGGGAATATGTGCCCGCCTAGCTCAATCGGATAGAGCGTCAGACTTTTACGGAAGGTCATCTGAAGGCTGCGAGTTCGACCCTCGCGGTGGGCTTTGATTTTGCAGCTCCGAAGTCTTTTTACTCTCCCCTCTTCCCACAAGGTGGTGGGAGGTACAACATTGACCTTTTTTGTAAATCTCCATGATCGATGGTCACTTTCTTGCCCAGCGATGATCATCAGGGTTCCGGAGTACGTTGAGTGAATCGCATTTATCACCAGCTCTTGCCAACTAATGAAATCAGTGGTCGTCCTGTTACAGCCGCCTTCAGATTGTTGCGCTCAACATTGTTTACGATATTGACGACGTCACCTGGAGCGCTCTTTCCTGGACTGAACGTTGAACACGGGCAATCCAGGCCAACCACTTTTCCATCAAACTTTCGGATTGTTACTAGCGGGCTGACGCTGCACAACCCTTGGGCTTGGTCCATTCAAGAGCACCCGTGAACTGTCGATCGTACCCCTCAAGCCAATACTCAAGTGCGTTGGCAACTACAAATGCATGCGCTCCAGTAGAATTGCTTTCTGGCTCGCTTTTCTATCCCGCTGCAGCAGGCGGTGTTCGGGACAAGCGCCTAGTGCGCCGGACGACCTCTCTTCCATGCGGCTTAACACGAGATGCTGGTCGGTGGAGGCTGTTCCTGGCTTTACCTCCAGCAGATGGTCGACGAGCAGCTTACGGGAATGTCCATTCGTCAAAATGTCGTGACAAACACCGGAACTTCAAGGTAATCTCATCCTAACGGGTTTCTCAAGTTGGGAACAAGCTGATGGTTTGCCTTCTGATTATCCAGGTTACGACCGACTAGCAGTTGATATGAATAAAGACGGTTGTGAAACCTTTGACATAGATCGACTGGTAGGGGATGCGAGGACATCATCATTGCGCACAAGTTCGTTGCATGCTCACCGAGCCTGTTTATGCCAATCAGACTGAGAAAGGCCTAGGGGTTTCATTCCTCGAGTCACTCTTCGGGTTTCATTGGCTTGTCGGGCTGACCCACTCACGTTCCTACAGGACTACGGTAACGGCACTGACTACGAGGAAATGTGATGAACTGCCATGCATTGCCTGGTGAAACGCCTGGCCAACTCACGTATGGTGCACGAAGCCGGACATTGCTGTGAGCTTTAACATAACGAATACCTCCCGAACTTCATCTGGGCGATGACTTGGCGACGACTGGTGGTCTCATAAGTACGTTCCGTCTCTCATTCCAACTTCGATAGGCACTAACATACCATGCTTTAAGGTACTGCTAGGCGCGATATAGAGGGCTTATGATGTATGATGGTGAAATAGGATATTCAATTCCGCTCTACCTGCAGGAAAAAGTATCACATCGCAGTTCGTCTCCCCGATGTTCCCCATGTACATAGGCAATAGATTGACTGTAGAAACCAAGGTAATCATATTACTTTCAAGGGTAGGATGTCCCATAACGACAAACGCGGGCCTTCACCGCTCAAGGTTGATTTCTGCCAAGCCCGCCTAGCTCAATCGGATAGAGCGCCAGACTTTTAAGCATACCAAGTGCAAGGAATCTGAAGGCTGCGAGTTCGAACCTCGCGGTGGGCCCTGGTCTCCTTATGTTGAACCTTTTTGCAAAATTCCAGGAAGGTTGTACAGCAAATTAAACTAACTGCGCGTTTCAAATGCAATTTTTAATGAGAAGACTAAAACCGCATAGGCCCACGAAAGCGGCATGTCGCTGTGGTTCTATGCCCGCCTAGCTCAATCGGATAGAGCGTCAGACTCTTATGTCTGGGTGGGTTCCACCGGGCAGGTGTTATCTGAAGGCTGCGAGTTCGACCCTCGCGGTGGGCTAATTGGATCTTTTTTTGCTTGCTCATTGAAAGATATAACGTTGGGGAAGAAAGCAATGTGAGCGTACATGGGTGAAGACTGTGCAAACGTCAACAGTCATACCAGGGGTTACATGTGAGTGGAAACCCTTCAGCGATACGTGGTCAGCCTCGTAGCCTCTGCTTCTGTTTCGTTTTCCTTCTCCGCAAGAAACGCCATAACACGAGACCTGCAGCAGACGCCACACCGTACGGAGGGAATAACCAGCTCAAACGCCAACTCCAGCCTGCTTCCTTGTCGAAGCGCTCCACCAGCGACTGAACTTGTTGTTCTAGCTCTGGGCGAGTCCCAGAATTGTCGATGACAATGTCTGCGTATGCGACCTTTTCGGTTATAGGTAATTGGGACCGGAGTCGGGACAGCGCGTCTTCGCGGGAGGAGTTGTCACGTAGCATAAGGCGTTGCAGCTGAAGCTCTTCCGAACTGGTGAACAGCGCAAGGAGGTGTCAGTCGGAAGCATCATGAGTGGCTGCGGCGAGCGACGAACCAGTAAACGACCACGACCTTTCCAACCATCTTCCACAGGGGTCCTTCGATGAGAAGGGGTACGTCCAGGATGCAGTATTTCTCGCCCCTCAGCCAGTACCTGACGACCTGCCAGAGCATTTCCTTGCGTACCGCAGGATGCACGATGTTGTTGAGCTGTTTTCGCTTGTGTGGGTCATTGAAGATGATAGAGCCTAGCTTCTTCCTGTCGAGGGAGCCATCCTCCTGTATCACTTCGTCGCCGAATATAGTCTTGATTTTGGCGAGTCCGGGTGAGCCTGGTTGGACTACTTCACGGGCGATGACGTCTGCGTCGACGATAGGGACGTTGTGGGTCTTGAAGAGGGTAGAGACCGTGGATTTACCGGTGGATATACCACCTGTTAGGCCAATTACTGTGGTGACGAGTGTACGTCAGCTTTGTGCTTTAGAGCGAGGTTTGGGGTTTACCTAGCATTCTGTAGGAGTAGGACTCGAAGCTGAGAGTGTTGGAGAGGTAGGTTAACTGGTGGTCATTGTCAGCGGGAGAGCAGCGTCGGAATCGAAGCCAATACCGGAACCCGGTGAGGTCAATTGATTCCGTCAATCAGGCGCGTCAGCTCATGCTTGACAGTGGACCACGTTCAAGTTGGTTGCACACCAACAGTTTCCAACAGTGCGCGTATAGGCGATGCTTAGGTGAGGTCAAATTAATATACAGAGAGAAAGCGTTAACCAGTATTCCATCCAATAGTTGGGTGAGAGACGAGTCGCTCGCTCGCTCCAAAACCCACTTGCCGTCAGCGCGAAATCAAGGCTTCATCGAGCTGGACGAGTTGAGGTCAACTTATATAGAGCCTTTTGGAGGCTAAAAGTTCAAACTGGAAGAACGCCAGCTCCTGATTGACTATGCACACAGAACCTGTCGACCTCTAACCCGTTCAAGTTGCCCCCTATCGAAGCCAAGGACATCTAAATCAATCGGACAACCATTGTAGTATCTGCTACTTTCATGGTGTCACATACCACCACCAAGCCCCCATTGGTTCCATCGGGTTGTCGAAAGTCGAAACCACATTCCTCTCGTATGTATCTTTACCGTTGGCTATTTGATTGCACTCTGATTCTCTGAACGATTAACACATATATCTATGGCCCTCTCACTTGCTACCCGGAATGCTCTCAGTCACGCACATCCTTTCCATCGCCGGCACTGATCATTTGGCTGCAGCCAGTCGCCGAGGCTAGTAATTCACCGCTTTCGAAGTATTCCAAATCGTGTGGCCCAACCTAACTTGACGAATCCACGCCACGATCCAACGGTCGACCCGTCCTTTCATCGGGGCTCGAGCTTCAGGATTACTTGCAAATGTGATGGTAAACTCGGTTCATCCAAGGCTGATAGTTTCAGAGTAAACAGGCGGCCCCACGTCGACAGCACTTGTGGCTTATGGTGGCTTCCTCTGAACCCCTGCCGGAATTTGTGAAATCGGGCAAACGCGGTGGAATCGACGCGCCTCCTCGAATACCAGGACGGGGCTTGGCTCCAACGCGGACACATCGTCCTCCTGTCAAATCCCCTGGCCAACGAAAGACTACGAGGCCAAAACCCCTTGCACTCGATGTCCAGCGGGGCTCCGCGAGGGGGCGCCATGCCTTCTGAAGCCATCGCCTGCCTAGCTCAATCGGATAGAGCGTCAGACTCTTATGATGTCTGCTCAAAGGCGGAGTACATGCGATCTGAAGGCTGCGAGTTCGACCCTCGCGGTGGGCTACTAGACTTTTTCTCCTTTTCACCCCTCTTCCCAAATCTTATCCTGTTGGTCGAAGTAAGTATCCCATGCACATCCTTCGAAGAATACAGCTCTTCGCCTTTTTATTGACCATCAAGGGAAGAACTGGCGTTTGGTGTACGGTGCCAGCGTCGCGAGAAGGAGGTTCAGCCGCCCCTCGTTCTCATAGCCCGCCTAGCTCAATCGGATAGAGCGTCAGACTTTTAAACGTACCACACCCTCTGTGGATGTTCGCCGTTGGAATCTGAAGGCTGCGAGTTCGACCCTCGCGGTGGGCTCTACTGTTGCAATACATCGCCATTACCTTTTTTCGGGTACCGTGTAGGTCTTGTCTTCCGGATTATCCACTATCCACAAATGTCTTGATCATTCTCAAACACACAAATTTTCAATTGAGCCCGAGGTCCGAGTTTCTTTATAATGTGATGGTTAAAATAGCTGTACGGACCTAGGGGAGCGATGCGTACATGGTAGTAATTGATATATTCCTTGTTTTTTGGTAAAAAAAATGAGGAGGGATGAAATTGTGCTGGCGCCTGTTTTGCGAAAATGATCGCTGTGACGTCATATCGGAACGGAATCAGGCAGCATCTCTTCCTCGTCCCTCCTCTGCCTCGAGCAACGAACAACAGCATGCAGGCCAAGAGTCTAACGAAACGCTCAAGTACAATCATCCTCCACCAACTCCTTCTTCCCTTTTAACTTTACAAAGTCGGTTTAACGTTAAACGGGACAATAAAAAAAAAGAAGGAAAAAAAAAAGTTCCGTGTCCGACTCATCCTATTGCAAAACAGCTAAACAAAAAGTCATAGTAGCCCACCGCGAGGGTCGAACTCGCAGCCTTCAGATCGTATGTTTTCCGCCGGAGCAGACGTCGTAAGAGTCTGACGCTCTATCCGATTGAGCTAGGCAGGCGATGGTATCTATGATGAAGGGCGGGGCTTGGCGCCGGCGGGGTATTACCATTAATTTGACTTGCGGGGGAGGCGGCGGCCAACTTTTCGGTAAGGTGCATGTATGTACTGTGTACATGTACGCTGGCAGGGCGGTGCTTGGAGTTTGGACGATCGTTTGCAGGTTTCCGAGTGTCGAACGGCAGGGACGGGCACGTTCACAAATCACTAAATTCGGGTTGGGAGGTCTCCGAGGCGTCGTACCAGTGCCACTGCGGATCCTGCGACACTCCGGCTGTCGCTGAGAGTACGTACTACCTACTTGCAGCTACCAACTACTTCTTCCTGCCAGGTTAAGCATCTGTTCGGCCCACTTTCCTTTCTGCGTACGCCGCGAAAAGCGCTCAGAATTCATTAAGGGGTTTGGGAAACGCCACTTTGGTAGGCTATGGCTCAAGTCCACGGGACCGAACTTCAAGGATTGTTACTGTGCTTGTTAAAGCACAAGGGCCCAGATCGGATCCAAGCTGTTAACCTGCCTGCCTGGCGTTCTCGGTATTTAGTACAAGTGCATGGATCGGATTGGCTTTTCTGCTGCCTAGTTACTGGTGTACTAGAGCTTACCCCCGCTCAAATTCCATTTAAAGTACCATTGGACCTCGCGTGCCCTCACGGCCAGGCCTCAACCGAGAATCGACGGCGACCATAACACACGGTCCGCCATCCGCTTAAGCGCTCAACCTCACCACTACCCACCACCACAACACAACCAAATCACACCAACTGACCTTATTCATCTAAACCTGCACCCCACTCAACGCACATTAAAAATTCACCACGTCAAGCTCTCCGCCACTGGCACATATTCGCAGTACACCAAAGAGATCGCGTGCGCTACGCACCTGACTACAATCACTGCGATAATCTCATACATAGAAGCAGCAGCAAGAGCCGAATTCGCCACAGGTAATGAAATTAATGAAGTATGGATTCATACCGTGCATCTCCACCGAACCCTGGTCCTTCCTTCTGCTTCTTCGCCGTTTTCGTCTTTTTCACGCGCACGCTTAATCACCAACCCACACCATCATCATCTCCACCAAAATATCAAATGTCCTACTAATACCCCAATCTCATCGCATATAATTATTCACATCACTCCACTCCTCTAACTAAACATCCAGCCCTCCTCTCCTCCCACCACACCACAACCATGTCCTCCCCACCCCCGCACCCCTCCGAAGAAGGCCTCCCCACCCTCCCCAAACTCGGGTTCACCCCCCAAACACCCCTCCCACACCCAACCCCCTCCGAAAGCACTTCAATCGCCCAAACCTGGCTCTCCAAATTCGCTGAACACACACACAAATCCACTTTAAACATCCCCGGATTCATGTCCGACCTCGTACTGGACAGCGGGTACGACAGTGCGTTTATGCGGCCCGAGGGTGGGGTCGACCAGCCCGCGTCTCGGACGAGCTCGCAGGTACGTGGTTTTACTTGCAGTACTTGGCGAAGCCTCAACCAACAGGCGCTCGAACAGGAGGAGCCCAAATTCAGCGCCAACGGACACCCACCGACCCTCTCCTCCTACTGGCGCGACGCCCTCGCCCTCACCTGGAACTTTCGCACATTCGAAAGCACATCCCGCATCACCCAGTTCCTCACCGACCGACTCGCCCAAGCCGAGATTTCAAACGTACAGCTCGCCTCGAGCTCGAGCTCAAACGGGTCGATCAAAGACGCGCCCCCGCCCGCGTTCGCACAGCTTTTTCCCGACCTCGCGTGGATCCAGTTTTTGTTCACGTTTGATACCGTCGTCGGGAACTGTCAAGGGGTCGTGCGGCTTGTTCCCCAAGTGCAAGGCCAAGGCCAAGGTGCGTATACAGATCAAAGTATAAGCGCGCCTGATGTCCTATTGACCTGGCACAACAGCGCAAACGATCCACTGGAAATCGCATGTGATCCTCACCACCCTCGTCGCCCTGCACACCCACACACCTCTCACAGGCGCACACCGGTTCGACCAGACTTCCTACTACACCCCTCCCAACGTCACCACCACCAAGAGCCCAGCATCGACATGGGACGAAAAACGTAAAGCAGAGCTCGAAAGCTTTACAGTGCACCACCCCACAGTGCTCGTAATCGGCGCAGGCCAGGCCGGATTGACACTCGCCGCGCGGTTCAAGTACCTCGGTGGACCGGCCGTGTCCTGCTTGCTCGTGGAGAAGAACGCAAGGGTGGGGGATAACTGGAGGGACAGGTACGATGCGCTTAGCTTGCATGATCCCGTTTGTGAGTTAGACTTCGAATTTTGTTGTCTGGATACATGATGACCTTGTTGCGTTTTAGGGTACGACCATTTGCCGTATTTGCCGTAGGTGCCTGTTTTTTGGCGGTAGGACGTTGATGCGCATATAGATAGGTTCCCGGAGACTTGGCCGGTGTATACTCCTGCGAAAAAGGTGCGTGGGTGGGCTGGGTGGTTGAGCTGGCGTTGACGATCTGTAGCTTGGGGATTGGCTTGAACATTATGCGGACGCGTTGGAGCTGAACGTGTGGACGTCGAGTACCGTGGAGAGCGCGGTGCAGGATGCAAAGAGCAAGTTGTGGACGGTCAAGATTAGGCGAAAGGACGGAGGTGGGTTGTATGAAGCTTAATGGCGATTTGGTTGACGAGCAAATAGAACACGCGCTGACTGTGAAACACGTTGTGTTTGCGTCTGGGTTTGTGGGCGATGCGTATATGCCAGAGCTGCCCGGCAAGGTGGGTCTAGTCTAGCCTTGCAAGTGTGCGCTGACAAAAGGGGTGCAGGACAAGTTTAAAGGGCAGATTTTGCATTCGACAGAACATCGGTCAGCGGCGGACCATGCGGGGAAGAAAGTGCTGGTTATTGGCGCCTGTACTTCTGGTGAGTGGTTTCCCGTTCAGCTCGATCTTGCGCGCTAAGGCTGGACAGCGCACGATATATGCGCAGACTATGTGCAGCACGGGATCGCGGTGACGATGTACCAGCGGTCGTCGACGTACATTGTGTCCTCGACGGGGACACGGCAGCTGCTAGCGGGGCTGTACAGCGAGCAGGCAGGGCTCAGCACGGAGACTGCGGACCTGGTGAACATGAGCATGGTGAACTGGGGCATGGCGGGTGTGAACCGGCGGGTGGCGCTGAGCCTTGTCGGCGAGGGCGGGGTGGACCACGAGCTGGTGGCCAATTTAGAGAAAAAGGGGTTCAAGACGAACGACGGGTACAGAGGCACGGGCCCGTTTGGGCTGGTCTGGGTCAAGGGCGGCGGCTACTACTTTGATTTCGGGGCGAGCGGGTACATTGTGGATGGACGGATCAAAGTCGAGAGTGGGCATGGCGGGGTTGCTAGTCTGAGCAAGGAAGGCGTTGTGTTTGAGGATGGCAAAGAGCTGGAAGCAGATGTTGTTGTGTTTTGCACGGGGCTGTCAGATGCAAGACAAGGGCCAATTCGGCGGGTGTGCGGAGATCAAGTAGCAGACGCGTGCAGTGACATCTGGGGCTTGTCAGACGAAGGCGAGATTCGGGGATGCTGGACCGAGGTTGGCTACGAGGGCTTGTGGAATATGATGGGCAACCTTGGTCTCTGCCGCATCTACTCGAAGCACTTGGCCTTGCGTAAGTCGCTCTTCTTTTCATTGTTCATTGTTGACTGGTTGCTGCAGAGATCAAAGCCCGCGAGCAAGGCCTCTGCCAAGATACATATTGATCGTCACTATTTGCATGTATTATTAGCACTACTATCTATTGTTTTCAACGAGGCTATTGTTCACGCAAACACATTATATCCTCGCACAAGCCATGCTCTACTCTCCAGCCCGTCTCCTTTCTTTTCTTTCGTCTAACTGGTTAGACTAGCACTCGCCAGCCGAGTATGTTCTTCTCTTTCGTCTTTTCAACGACCCTCGTGGCCAGCACCCTTGCCCATTCCGCCTTTTTCCACCCGAGCATGTGGGGATTCAATGTCACCACCGAGGACTTTTCCTACGACAACCGCGCCGTCTCGCCCCTTCGCAGCAAGTCCTTTTCCGAGTGGTGGTTCCACAACCACCTCGCCTTCCCCCCAAACCCCGCCGACCGCTTCCTCCTCCCCGCCGGCCAACCAGCAACCGCAGAGATCGCCTGCGACAAGGGCGCCACTTCCTACAGCGACAGCAACAAAGGAGGCGACATCAAGGACCCCGCCGACCTCAACAACCCCTGTCCCCGCTCCCCCACTGTCAGATTCCACAGCAACGACATCTCAGAAGTCACCGGCTGCGCCCTCGCGATCGCGTACAAGAGCAACGTCGAGGACGTCCAGCCGGAAGATTTCACAGTCTTCAGCGTCAACCACACCTGCGTCTGGACGCGCTTCACAGAGTTCCAGGTGCCAGAGCGCATGCCTCCGTGCCCGGAAGGCGGCTGTATCTGCTCCTTTTTCTGGGTGCACCACGAGAACGGAGGCGGGGACGAAAACTACATGAACGGCTTCAGATGCGACGTCACCGGTGCCCAAGTCAACGCGGACGTCAAGATCGCAAAGAGCCAGGTTCCCAGACGCTGCGGCGCGGACGAGAAGCGGGGCAGGATCGAACCTTCCCCCGGAAACTGCACTTATGGCGCCAAAACACCCTTTTACTGGGTCCAGAACGAGAGGAACAACGTGCGTGTCTATTCATTTTTGCGACGCGTTTACTGACCCCTCTCTAGATGTTTGAAGGCGGACATTCACCACCGGTCTACAACGACCTCTACAACTTTGCAGACGGAGCCCAGAACGACATTTTTGAAGATTCGTACCTCGACCTCGCCTCTTTCACGCCTGCGCCTGGGGCTGCTGTCCCCGTCCTGCGCACCGTGTTCGAGAGGGCCGTAGAGGAACCGACGGGCACACCAACCATCATCCTCTCCCAGCTCCCTTCTCCAACCCCCAGCAACAACGCAGGGACGACGATCGTGCTCGTGCCAGCTGGCGAACCAAGCCCGTCCATCAGCCTCTCATCATCCACCATCAGCCTCTCATCATCCACCATCATCCTCGTCGCCCAAACTGGCTCACCCCCCTCCTCGTCCTCCTCAGCAGACGCAGAAGCGCCAACACCAACACCGTCGGCGAGCACCACACCCGACCCACCGACGATCACCATCACCACCTTTGTGGCCACCGTCACTATCACGGTGGAGACTACGGAGATCGTGATCGTGGACGCCGAGGCAACTGACACTGATACTGGTGCGGACAGTCCGAGTCCAAGCCCCACCCCTGCACCTACCAGTGCACCGCAGGGGGGGAGGCAGCAGGAGCCGGAGGGGACGTTTGAAGTTCCGGATGCGACTGGTGTGAGGACGGGGATTCCGAGGCCTAGTGGGTCGAGTGGGGAGCCAGAGTCGCAATCTGAACGCGAGCAACCTCAACCCCAGCCGCAGCCGCAACCTCAACCTGAACCTCAGCCGCAACAGCAAAGACAGCCTCAGCGCCAACAAGAACCCGAAGGCGAAGTCGATGTCCCCGTCCTGACCGATATACGGACTGCGATCCCGCGTCCTACGCCTGGGCTGAGGGTGAGGGACCGTCCCGTGGAGGGGTTGTTTGGGAGGAGGTTTTTTAGGCGGTAAGGGGTCTGACGAAAACACGAACGAACGCACGAAGGAATGAATGAACGGATGATATTTATGACGACGCGTCTGGGGGCTTGATGTCCTTGGACCTTGCACGACCGCAACGCAACGCAACGCACGGACTTGACGAAGCCTTTTTTGATGCTGGACTATTGTACTCTTATTCATATTCACCACCATCGCATACTTATAACCATCGCATCGCATACTTATCATAGCATATCATATCAGAGCATAGCATAGCATACCACCACCATCGCATATACCGAATTTAATACTGTATCATAACATTGCTCACCCGCTTTCACCAACCTCTGCAAATGCGTCAACTTTCAATTCAGCTCTTCTGATAGTGCTGCACCCTTAGCAAAAGCCCACGGCGCAACGCACATTTCACATGTCCACACCATTAACATTAACCCCGCCTTTCCCTTCCAGTTTAGCCGCCCCAACTCACCCGCAAACCCGTGTTTAGCTAATAAAGGCCCACTGCATCCCTTCCAACAAGCCCGCCTAGCTCAATCGGATAGAGCGTCAGACTTTTACGCATCTACGTGTGTAGCGATCTGAAGGCTGCGAGTTCGACCCTCGCGGTGGGCTTATAGTTCTTGCCTCTTCTTTGTTCTTTTTTCTTTTTAGTTGTTCTTGTTGAGTTTATTTTTATTTTGGTAAGGAAGAGTACGAAACTATACAGTGGTCCGTTCCGACAACTCGAGGGTTTCAAGTACAGTCTGGACGTTTTAAGTACTTACAAGTTTTTTGGGTCCCGGCTTGTATTGATCGATAAATTCTATTGTTTGGGATGCTTGTAATGAGAGTGAGAGTGACGAACTTGCCGCAGTGGCGACGTTGAAATGAGTGTAGAGAGGGGGGGAATCACAAGTATCCCAAAGTTCTCACACTGAGCGCAAAACGGAATCTGCGAAAGCGTATGTAGTGCCCAAACTTGCTAGCAAAGTGAGCTACTATATAACGGTAACGACGATGATAATAAAATGCATATGGCTAACAGATAAGTCCATATCAGACGAAAGCGGAGAGCAAGCCTGAAGATACTAATACTAGTGGTATATGATATGGATATGGATGGTTGGAACGACAGTGGCAGATAGTTGGTTGGGTCCATGAGAAATGTGCAAGACACTCGAGATTGGATGGTATAGCATCTTTAAGAGCAAGCAGTAGCAGAAGTACAAGTGTCTGAACATGAAGAGGACGGAGGAAGGAAGGAAGGAAAAGAAGAACCAAGAATCTTAAAATCTAAACCCGCCGTCCAAAAAAAACCAAAAATCAAAATCAAAACCTCAACGCGGAGATCTTCTTGCGCAACTTGCGCCCCAACCCACCCTTGCCCGGCGTATCTGCCACAGCACCCGCAGGCTTCAACAGCCCAACATCCAGACTCGACTCGCTTCTCCGTCCCACAGACGCCGCTTTCGTCGTCGGACTGACAGCGCTGCTGCCAGCACCACCTCCAACTTTAAGATTGAACGACGGGGTGTCAGGCGGCGCGCTCGTCACATGTATCATCTTGGTTGGCGTAGCAGGTGCGTGCGTGTACAGCGCCGTATAATCAAGGCTCTGTCCCCGCGCCGATGCAATGCTCGATTGGCTTGAATTGGCCGAACGCACCGCAGAGCCCGAGAGGCGTTTCAAAGGGCCTGGGATATCATGAACTTGGCTCCCTCCTTCACTGCTAGCCCTCGCACCCGAGTCCAAGCTCATCCGCAGCTCCTCCAACCCGAGCTCCAGCTCCAACGAAAACGGCCGGTCCTCAGGTATAACCCGAATCAAATCAATGCTGCTCCCCAGCCGACTGGGGACCTGCGAAGACCGCGTGGCAAGTGCCTGTGACGGATACGGATACGGATGGTGCTGGCTCTGTCCCTGCTGAGCAAAAGACGAGGGCGGCGAGACAACCGACGCCCGCTTCCCACCAGACGCAAAAAAGCCACTGAACCGGTTCTTGCTCGGGATCTTGCGCAGGAGCTTTTTGGTCGCAGGACTCGAAGGCGGGCTCTGCGGCTCCGCGTGCCCGTGGGCAGACGAAGAGGAAGGGGTAGGCGATCCGATACCACCCAGCCCCATCTCCGCCAACGCACCCCCAATGCTCCCCATCGCACTCCCCGTGCTGAACCGAGCGGGAGGAACAACTACACCCTCCTTCCCGCTCGCAACACTACCACTACTGGTCCGGGCATTGCTGATCGCGTCCAGATCAGCCGACGACATCAACACCAGCCCCGCACCATCCACAGGCGATTCAGCGTCAAACCCGCTCAGCAGATCCGCGACATAAGAAGGCATCGCGACCGGCACGTCCACGTCAACCTTGATCTTGGACTTGCTCTTTGATTTAGATTGTCGGTTTGCAGTCGGGTGCTGGGACTTCGTCTTCTGTGTCGCGTTGACGTCGGAACCGTCAGCTTGATCGACCGTGACGTCCCCAGCTTCATCGTCGAGACTGTCGGCGCTGTGCGATGTGGCCACGGTGCTTCGGTAGATGGTGACCGTCCCGGAGGGCACACCACGCATCCTGACATCGTCGTCCACTTCGCTTTCTTCCCGCACGACCATGGGTTCCAGAGCTTGGTATACCATTCCCGCAGGCGTTCGCAGCACACCACCGTCCGAGCTCGAACCAGACGATGATGTTGAGGAGACGCGGTTTTGTGTTTGTTGTGTGCGAGGGCGCGGTTGGAGAGCGACAGGATCTGCCATGCTTGCAAGGGCTAGGGGGAGGATCCGGCTGTGTTTGTGCACACGCGTGGACTGGTTGGTAGATGGTGGGGAGGCAGGGGCAGTAGTTGGTATACTTGGATGTTCGCTGTCGGTGCTGATGGCTGTATGGGGATGCTGGGAGGTGGATGTAGCCAGCTCTTGGTCAGCGGGAGATGCTGAAAGTTCCCGAGGTCGGCGGCGGCGTGTGCCAGATGAAAGTGGGTAAAGCGGTGTCTCCGTTCGAGCTTCATAGTCTGAAGGAAAGAATCCACCCCGGACATCTTTCTCTGCCTCCTTTTCCAACCACTTCTTCTTCCTCTCGGCAGCCTTAGACTCCTCCTGGAAGAACATAGCGTCACGGTTGACCAGCGCCTCGACATGCTGGCAGGCACCCCAAAGTGCTCTGTGCGCGTCAAGTTCCCTCCGCTCTTCCAGCCATCTCTTGCGTTGAAGTGCTTTGAACCGGGGGGAATTGACGTCCGATTCGTCAGACGCGGGGGTGACAGTGAGTGAACGCAATTTGGACAGGTTGGAGGCTGCCTCGAACGCATGTGTCTTCAGAATCGAGATGGCGCGTTCGAGGAGGCGGATTTGGGTGTCGTGCATCGTAGTGGGGGAAGGAGGACGGTGTGCAACTGGCAAACTGCTCATTGCAAGAGGGGATGTTACTGGCGAGGCAGATGCAGTGGCGGCCACAAAGGAAGAAGGGTTGTTGCGGCCTTGACTAAAGCGTGATCCCAGTGGGAGTGGGAACAGTTCATCTGAGTCCCTGCGGCGGTTGTCATCCCTACTAAGTAGTTGGATAGTAGTAAAGCTCGTCAGTTTAACTGCGACAATGAAACGTCATGGCTTCGGAATGACTAACCGAGAAAAACTCGAGACCTTCTGCCTGGGAAGCGTTGATGTGCTAGTGTCCAGCGGTGGAGGATTCTTGAGCTCTATAGCTTGAACGATAGTCGAGACAAGTGGTCGAGACATGTTGGTACTTTCCTGGGGTGAAAATATTGAGTACCGTAAGTTCCCTAGGTCACATATTGATGTATGATGATCCTGTTCAGCGAGACGAACGTACCTGCAACGCTCGCTTTCTGTTGGGACTGGAACTGGCGAGGACCGACGGTGTAGTCATGGATCAAGAATGCGGTTCACCGCAACTATCCTTGAAAAAAAAACAATGGACGGCGTCGTCAACGGATGCTTCAGACCGTCATCCACAATGACAAGCCTCCCTGACCAGTGATCTGTCCTTGGTCTCAAACCGCACAATGTGAGGCAGTTTCGGTTCACGAAAGCACCCTATTCCAAGAGGACTCCTAAACGCGAAGTGGCACGTAGGTAACCGATAGCGGAGAGGCTGCACGCTGTGCACGATGATGACGGTTGCGTGGAGAACGAATCCGACGGCGAACTCGAACCAACATTCATCAGCAGATGCTGCGGGCCGTGTTAGTGCCGCGTGCTGATACAGTAATGCCTCCGATCCTGGCGGGGAAGGCGGGCATTGCTTATGATCGACTTGATCCGCTCGGCAACTGTTCTGGCAGATGTAGTAGATCCGAGTTCAGTGGTA